AGTATAGTATAGTATATATATATATATATATATATATATACACACATATATATATATATATATATATATATACACACATATATGTCGCGTACTCGAGGACTGGTTTGTCTGCGATCCCGTACCTTACATACCCGATGGCTTTTTCGTAGCACTACTAATTAACGCGGTTTACGTTATAATCCAACGTCGCCTAACATAATTCGAATCGGCTCGATTTAGATCGCGGAGTACAAATGATACGCCGATCGGACCCGATTTATTCCGAAAAATATTCTAATGACTCGCATAAAGACGATAATAAGACGACAAGTTGTAATTACGTACCACTCTAAGTCTGCCGATAAGATAAATAATAAGAATGTTGGCGTAGCAGTTAGATATCGTCGTTTACTTAATTAACGCGTTGAAATTCCGCGATTGGGAAATGCATGTTAACTCGGGCATCGGACGAATGTACGAGGAGGGAAGAGATTTCTACTGTATAATTATATAATAATTTTGCCTGATGTAATTTAACGTTTATGTAAACTTTCCTCTAGAGCGTGTTACGGGGGGGGGGGGCTCGGAGTAAACCTGGAAGCGAATGGCGTTTCGTTTCTTTACGCCGGCGCGAGTTGCTCTTCTAGAAGACTAGTCAAACTAGTGTAACACGAACGAGGACGAAGACAGGCGAGGAGGAACTATTGTTGTTCGTGGTCGGCAACAATACCGGCACGCTTCCTTTGCCACCGTGAAAAATAATCCGGGCTTTGTCTATGATGTACACCGCAATGCACCGTCCGCAATCCTCGTGCAGACTGTTGCGTTTTCAGAGTAAACCCGCGTTCCCACACTGTCCTTCTGCCTGAATACTACGTTCTCCGTCTTATGAAACCGATTCCGTGTGCGTCCGAGAATAAAAAGCTCGTAAGTTATAACCTAAGCCATCTATTAATTTCAAGTATCATACGAGAGAGCGCGTCTCTCTTTCCTTTTTTTTTTTTCTCATAAAACTGTTACGTCTGCTCACTCTTGTAAAATTTTATGTGTTGCATTAAACGTTACCTTAAATACATAATACTCTTGAAATCATAATTTAAAATCTTGTCCTCTCGATAATAATTAACACTTTTCTCGCTTATATATAAATTACACGTTGCCGTAACGATTAAAATCGAAATATTTAAAATTAGCGCATGCCCTTTCGGCAGGCGCATTTTTACGTCAATTCACAGCAGGTATCCTGTCAGTTGGACAAGCTCGCCGGCACTTTATATCGATTATTAATTCATTCATATTACCGGCTGGCGTGTACCGTAATCCATTGCGACTGAAACGCCCCGCCGTCATTAAACTATGATAACGAGGCCCTTGGGCGACGATGAGCCGGTGCTTAACGTAACTCCTTTTACCCACTCCTTTTAACTTCCTTAACCCGACACGCCGACACGACGACACCTGCCCCTGAGCGAAATGTCTCGATTTTTCGAATGCCACGAGATTTCCTCAGAGAGCAGCTTCGTGCATCCTTGCATCGGATCACCCCGATTGCATCTCCGAACGTCACGCGCGATATTTTAATGATCGTCTGCCTTGTATCGAATTACTTTGCGTCT